ATTCCGATGTCCACGGACCCCCCAGCCGGGTCCCGTCCGTATTCCGATGTCCACAGACCTCCCACAGATTTGTCCTTTGTTGGAGATTTGGGGAACCTCGCGGACACATTCTGTGTAATTGGTTGTCTGGCCAGTTGTGCAGATCGTTGGGATCTTTGTGTGGATCGGTTTGTGCGGATCTTGGGATTGGTTTGTCGGGATCAGTTCGTTGGGAACTTTGTGCGGATCGTTGGGATCGGTTGTGCGGATCGTTGGGGATCGGTTGTGCGGATCGTTGTCCGATCGGTTGTGCGGATCGGGGATCTTTGTGTGGATCGTTGAGATCGGTTTCGGGATCTTTGTGCGGATCGTTGAGATTGGTTGTCGGATGATCGTTGTGCGGATCGTTTGGTCCGATTGGGATGTTGGGGATCGTTGTGTGGATCGTTGGGATTGGTTGTCGGGATCTTTGTGTGGGATCGTTGTTCCGATTGGGATTGTCGGGATCTTTGTGTGGATTTTTGGGGGTCTTGTGTGTGGATTGTTGGGATGGTCGGGATCCAAGGATCTTGGTGATTGTTTGTGACGGATCTGTGTGCGGATTGTGGTCGGTGTGTATTCGATGTCGGGAGATCTTTGTGTGGATTGTCCTTCGTTGTGTGGATCGAGTTTGGGATTTTGTTGCGGATCACTGTTGGATCGTTGGGATTGGTTGTCGGGATCTTGTGTGTGTGGATTGGTCGGGGATCTTTGTGTGGATCGTTGGGATTGGTTGTCGGGATTGTTGTGTGGATCGTTAGGATTGGTTGTCGGGATCTTTGTGTTGTGTCGGGATCTTTGTGTGGATCGTTGGGATTGGTTGTCGGGATCGTTGTGGGATCGTTAGGATTGTTGGGGATCGGTTGTGTGGATGAGTTGGGATCGGTTGTTGGGATCTTTGTGCGGATCGTTGGATTGGTTGTCGGGATCGTTGTGTGGATCGTTGGGATTGGTTGTCGGGATCTTGTGTGGATCGTTGGGATTGGTTGTCGGGATCTTTGTGCGGATTGTTGGGATTGGTTGTCGGGATCTTTGTGTGGATTGTTGGGATCGGTTGTGGGATTTTGGGATCGGTTGTGTGGTGATTTAGGGGATCTTTTGTGTGGATCGTTGGGATGTTGTGGGATCTTTGGGGATCGGATTGTCGGGATCTTTGTGCGGATCGTTAGGATTGGTTGTCGGGATCTTTTGTGGGATCGTTGGGATTGGTTGTCGGGATCTTTGTGCGGATCGTTGGGATCGGTTGTCGGGATCTTGTGTGCGGATCGTTGGGATCGGTTGTCGGGATCTTTGTGCGGATCGTTGGGATTGGTTGTCGGGATCTTTGTGCGGATCGTTGGGATCGGTTGTCGGGATCTTTGTGCGGATCGTTGGGATTGGTTGTCGGGATCTTTGTGCGGATCGTTGGGATTGGTTGTCGGGATCTTTGTGCGGATCGTTGGGATTGGTTGTCGGGATCTTTGTCGGGATCTTTGTGCGGATCGTTGGGATCGGTTGTCGGGATCTTTGTGCGGATCGTTGGGATTGGTTGTCGGGATCTTTGCGGATCGTTGGGATCGGTTGTTGGGATCGTTGTGGGATCGTTGGGATCGGTTGTCGGGATCTTTGTGCGGATCGTTGGGGATCGGTTGTCGGGATCTTTGTGCGGATCGTTGGGATTGGTTGTCGGGATCTTTGTGCGGATCGTTGGGATCGGTTGTCGGGATCTTTGTGCGGATCGTTGGGATTGGTTGTCGGGATCTTTGTGCGGATCGTTGGGATTGGTTGTCGGGATCTTGTGCGGATCGTTGGGATTGGTTGTCGGGATCTTTGTGCGGATCGTTGGGATCGGTTGTCGGGATCGTTGTGCGGATCGTTGGGATTGGTTGTCGGGATCGTTGGGATCGGTTGTCGGGATCTTTGTGCGGATCGTTGGGATTGGTTGTCGGGATCTTTGTGCGGATCGTTGGGATCGGTTGTCGGGATCTTTGTGCGGATCGTTGGGGATTGGTTGGATCGGTTGTCGATCTTTGTGCGGATCGTTGGGATCGGTTGTCGGGATCTTTGTGCGGATCGTTGGGATTGGTTGTCGGGATCTTTGTGCGGATCGTTGGGATCGGTTGTCGGGATCTTTGTGCGGATCGTTGGGATTGGTTGTCGGGATCTTTGTGCGGATCGTTGGGATCGGTTGTCGGGATCGTTGTGCGGATCGTTGGGATCGGTTGTCGGGATCGTTGGGATCTGGTTTGTTGGGATCTTTGTGCGCGATCGTTGGGATCGGTTGTCGGGATCTTTGTGCGGATCGTTGGGATTGGTTGTCGGGATCTTTGTGCGGATCGTTGGGATTGGTTGTCGGGATCTTTGTGCGGATCATTGGGATCGGTGGTTGTGGGATCTTTGTGCGGATCGTTGGGATTGGTTGGGATCGGTTGTTGGGATCGTTGGATCGTTGGGATCGGTTGTCGGGATCTTTGTGCGGATCGTTGGGATCGGTTGTCGGGATCTTTGTGCGGATCGTTGGGATCGGTTGTTGATCTTTGTGGGATCGTTGGGATTGGTTGTCGGGATCTTTGTGCGGATCGTTGGGATCGGTTGTCGGGATCTTTGTGCGGATCGTTGGGATCGGTTGTCGGGATCTTTGTGCGGATCGTTGGGATTGGTTGTCGGGATCTTTGTGCGGATCGTTGGGATTGGTTGTCGGGGATCTTTGTGCGGATCGTTGGGATCGGTTGTCGGGATCGTTGGGATTGGTTGTCGGGATCGTTGGGATCGGTTGTCGGGATCTTTGTGCGGATCGTTGTGTGGTGACTCGGGATCTGTGGCCGGTATTCTGGAGGTGGATCTCCTGTAGATCCTCTGTGGTCGATCTCTCTATGACACGTGATCTCTCCTCCTGTTTCAGGTTGTTCCTCCGGGATGTTTCAAGCCGAATCAGGGAGACGAGAGCTGCCTGCACTGCCCCATAAACAGCCGCACCACCTCAGAGGGGGCCACCAACTGCGTGTGCCGATCGGGGTACTACCGAGCCGACTCCGACCCCCTGGAGATGCCGTGTACCAGTAAGTGTCTCCGTGTCCTGAGATGTCAGGGATGCAGGTACCCGACGTGGTGTAACTGGGGGGAGGACATTCCTGGCTGCACAGACTCTGGGGGGGTGGTGGAGGAGACCGGCGGCCCGGGCACCCCTCCCCCCACATGCTGCTAATGGCTTACAAATGTCTCAGATGTGAATGAGGCCTGAAATCCGACTCCGTCCAGCCATGGGGGGAGGGACAAGATGGGGGGGGGGGGCGGCAGCAAGATGGGGGAGGGGGTGGATGATGGGGGGGGGCGGCAAGATGGGGAGGGGGTGGAGGGGGTGGATGATGGGGGGGGGGGGCGGCGGCAAGATGGGGAGGGGGTGGATGATGAGCGGGGGGGGGGGGGACAAGATGGGGGGCAGCAAGATGGGGAGGGGGTGGAGGATGGGGGGGGATCTCTCTTCCTCCTCCTCACTCCTGACCTCTCTCTCTTCCTCCTCCTCACTCCTGACCTCTCTCTTCCTCCTCACTCCTGACCCTTCTCTCTTCCTCCTCCTCCTCACTCCTGACCTCTCTCTTCCTCCTCACTCCTGACCTCTCTCTTCCTCCTCCTCCTCACTCCTGACCTCTCTCTTCCTCCTCCTCCTCACTCCTGACCTCTCTCTTCCTCCCTCCTCCTCACTCCTGACCTCTCTCTTCCTCCTCCTCCTCACTCCTGACCTCTCTCTTCCTCCTCCTCCTCACTCCTGACCTCTCTCTCTCCTCCTCCTCCTCACTCCTGACTTCTCTCTTCCTCCTCCTCACTCCTGACCTCTCTCTTCCTCCTCCTCACTCCTGACCTCTCTCTTCCTCCTCCTCACTCCTGCCCTCTCTCTTCCTCCTCCTCACTCCTGACCTCTCTCTTCCTCCTCCTCACTCCTGACCTCTCTCTTCCTCCTCCTCACTCCTGACCTCTCTCTTCCTCCTCCTCACTCCTGACCTCTCTCTTCCTCCTCCTCCTCACTCTGGGGTGACCTCTCTCTTCCTCCTCCTCCTCACTCCTGACCTCTCTCTTCCTCCTCCTCCTCAGACTCCTGACCTCTCTCTTCCTCCTCCTCCTCACTCCTGACCTCTCTCTTCCTCCTCCTCCTCACTCCTGACCTCTCTCTTCCTCACTCCTGACCTCTCTCTTCCTCCTCCTCCTCACTCCTGACCTCTCTCTTCCTCCTCCTCCTCCACTCCTGACCTCTCTCTTCCTCCTCCTCCTCACTCCTGACCTCTCTCTTCCTCCTCCTCCTCACTCCTGACCTCTCTCTTCCTCCTCCTCACTCCTGACTTCTCTCTTCCTCCTCCTCACTCCTGACCTCTCTCTCTGATCCTCCTCCTCACTCCTGACCTCTCTCTCTTCCTCCTCCTCACTCCTGACCTCTCTCTCTTCCTCCTCCTCACTCCTGACCTCTCTCTTCCTCCTCCTCACTCCTGACCTCTCTCTTCCTCCTCCTCACTCCTGACCTCTCTCTTCCTCCTCCTCACTCCTGACCTCTCTCTTCCTCCTCCTCACTCCTGACCTCTCTCTTCCTTCTCCTCACTCCTGACCTCTCTCTTCCTCCTCACTCCTGACCTCTCTCTCTTCCTCCTCCTCACTCCTGACCTCTCTCTTCCTCCTCCTCACTGCTGACCTCTCTCTTCCTCCTCCTCACTCCTGACCTCTCTCTTCCTTCTCACTCCTGACCTCTCTCTCTCTTCCTCCTCACTCCTGACCTCTCTCTTCCTCCTCACTCCTGACCTCTCTCTTCCTCCTCCTCACTCCTGACCTCTCTCTCTTCCTTCTCCTCAGCCACCCGTCGTCGTCTCCTCAGGCGGTCATCTCCAGTGTGAATGAGACGTCTCTGATGCTGGAATGGTCTCCTCCTCGTGATTCTGGTGGTCGGGAAGATTTGGTGTACAACATCATCTGTAAGAGCTGTGGATCTGGGCGTGGCGCCTGCACCCGCTGCGGGGATAATGTGCAGTTTGCTCCTCGGCAGCTGGGCCTCACCGAGCCACGAGTCTACATCAGTGACCTCCTCGCCCCACACGCAGTACACCTTCGAGATCCAGGCCGTGAATGGAGTGACCGACCAGAGCCCCTACTCCCCGCAGTTCTCCTCCGTCAACATCACCACCAACCAGGCCGGTAAGTGCGCCCGGTGTATGACCCCCCGCCCGCCACCCACACACCAACCAGGCCGGTAAGTGCGCCCGGTGTATGACCCCCGCCGCCACCCACCACCAACCAGGCCGGTAAGTGCGCCCGGTGTATGACCCCCACCCCCGCCGCCACCACCCACCACCAACCAGGCCGGTAAGTGCGCCCGGTGTATGAGGGAGACGGGTGGGGGTGCATTGTGCATTGTCAGCACTTCGTGATGTTTGGCTCCATCCATAATTCATGGCGGAGCCGGGTAAGGAGGTCAGCTGTCACCCTGATGACAATCACCGGGGGGGGGGGGGGGGGCCGAGGAGATTCCACCACCCATTGGCTCCACTACGTATTGAGGGGGGGGGGGGCTGGACATGCTGCGATGATGATTGTGGCAGCTTCAATTACCCCCATGAGGAGTGTGTGTGTGGATACAGTGCAGAGGGGGGTATATATATACATTGTAGGGGGGGGGGGTATATATATACATTGTAGAGGGGGGTATATATATATACATTGTAGAGGGGGGGTATATATATACATTGTAGAGGGGGGGTATATATATACATTGTAGAGGGGGGGTATATATATATACATTGTAGAGGGGGGGTATATATATACATTGTAGAGGGGGGGTATATATATACATTGTAGAGGGGGGGTATATATATACATTGTAGAGGGGGGGTATATATATACATTGTAGAGGGGGGGGTATATATATACATTGTAGAGGGGGGGTATATATATATACATTGTAGAGGGGGGGTATATATATATACATTGTAGAGGGGGGATATATACTATATATACATTGTAGAGGGGGGGTATATATATACACAGTGCAGAGGGGGGGTATATATATACATTGTAGAGGGGGGGTATATATATACAATGTAGAGGGGGGTATATATATATACATTGTAGAGGGGGGTATATATACACATGTAGAGGGGGGGTATATATATATACATTGTAGACGGGGGGTATATATATACATTGTAGAGGGGGGGGTATATATATATACATTGTAGAGGGGGGTATATATATACATTGCAGAGGGGGGTATATATATACATTGTAGAGGGGGGGTATATATATACATTGTAGAGGGGGGGTATATATATACAATGTAGAGGGGGGTATATATATACATTGTAGAGGGGGGGTATATATATACATTGTAGAGGGGGGGTATATATATATACATTGTAGAGGGGGGTATATATATACATTGTAGAGGGGGGGTATATATATAACATTGTATATACATTGTAGAGGGGGGGTATATATATATACATTGTAGAGGGGGGTATATATATACATTGTAGAGAGGGGGGGTATATATATACATTGTAGAGGGGGGGTATATATATACATTGTAGAGGGGGGTATATATATATATACATTGTAGAGGGGGGGTATATATATACATTGTAGAGAGGGGGGTATATATATACATTGTAGAGGGGGGGTATATATATACATTGTAGAGGGGGGTATATATATATACATTGTAGAGGGGGGTATATATATATACATTGTAGAGGGGGGGTATATATATACATTGTAGAGGGGGGGTATATATATACATTGTAGAGGGGGGTATATATATAGAGGGGGGGGTATATATATACACATTGTAGAGGGGGGTATATATATATATACATTGTAGAGGGGGGGTATATATATACATTGTAGAGGGGGGGGGGGGGTATATATATATACATTGTAGAGGGGGGGGGTATATATATATACATTATATACATTGTAGAGGGGGGGTATATATATATACATTGTAGAGGGGGGGTATATATTGTATAAATATATATACATTGTAGAGGGGGGGTATATATATACATTGTAGAGGGGGGGTATATATATATATACATTGTAGAGGGGGGGTATATATACATTGTAGAGGGGGGGTATATATATATACACATTGTAGAGGGGGGGGTATATATATACATTGTAGAGGGGGGGTATATATATACATTGTAGAGGGGGGGGTATATATATACACATTGTAGAGGGGGGGGTATATATATATACATTGTAGAGGGGGGGGTATATATATATACATTGTATATATATATTTGTAGAGGGGGGGTATATATATATACATTGTAGAGGGGGGGTATATATATACATTGTAGAGGGGGGGTATATATATACATTGTATATATATATATACATTGTAGAGGGGGGTATATATATACATTGTAGAGGGGGGTATATATATATACATTGTAGAGGGGGGGGTATATATGTACATTGTAGAGGGGGGTATATATGTATATACACACACTGTAGGGGGGGTATATATACACTGCTCAGCATACATGAGTCCGCCCCAACAGATCTGTCAGAAATCCTTTCCTCTCAGAATCCACGTTTTCTATGGGACACGATACCACAAGCTCCTCCCACAAATACCGGCCAATGATTGCAGACAAAATTTGTTGAGTTGCACACACAGAAAAGTATTTTTCCTAACAAATCTATCCCAGACCATGTTGCAAAAATAAACACACCCCAATGAAATTCTTAGGGGCAAAGCTTAATTTTAGACGACAAAATCCTAAATAACAAGAACTCATCTCCAGGTGAGTCTAATTCTTCATTACACAGGTGTCCAGCAGACAGGTGATTATAAAAGGGCGTGACCTAACAAAGAAAACCCCGCCCATTTCATGCTGTCAGCAATGCCACCACATGGAAGAGAAATGTCACCAGGCCTGAGAATGGAAATCATTTCTTTACACTAGAAAGGTGAAGGCTACAAGGAGATCAGCAAAGCTTTATCAGTGAGAATATTGGAGCAAAAGTGATACAAAGATGGAACTGCAACCATCTCACAGAGACGTCCAGGCCGTCCACGGAAGTTATCACCTCGACAGGAGCGTCTTCTGATAAGAAGGGATGAAGAAGATCGCCATGTAAGGTCACTGCAGTTAGCTAAAGAAGTAGAAAGCCAAACCGGGGCGATTGTTTCCCGTGACACCGTATGGCGCACACTGCAGAGGAATGGCATGCATGGGTGTTGTCCTCGAAGGAAGCCTCTCCTAAAGCCCGCCTAGGATTTGACAGGACCCCTGAAAAAGAAGACGACTACCGGGTCTCTGTACTTTGGAGTGATGGGACCAAGACAAAGGTTTCTGGAACTGACGGCTTCATAACTGTATGGTGTCACAAAGGTGAGGAGTACAAAGACAAATGCACGGTGCATACTGTGAAACATGGTGGTGGCAGCGCCCTTCCGTGGGGGCTGCATGAGTGCTGCTGGTGTCAGGGAGCTGCATTTCATTGATGGTGTCATGAATTCACAGATGTATGGCTCTATATTGAAGAGAAGATGCTCCCATCGCTCCGTGTCCTCGATCGTCCAGAATGACAACGATCCAAAACACACATCTAAGGCCACTGTTGTATTTCTGAAGAAGAACCGGGGGAAGGGATTCCGGGGCCAAGTCTGTCTCCTGATCTGGACCCAACACCTGTGGGGGGATCTGAGGAGACAAGCTGAGCATCGCTCTCCATCCAGCATCCAGGCCCTGAGAGGTCTCCATATACATGGCGCCCCCCCCATGGTTGTATCTGGAGCACTGTATATATATATATACATGGAGTGTGTGCCGGCGCCCCCCCCATGGTTGTATCTGGAGCACTGTATATATATATACATGGAGTGTGTGCCGGCGCCCCCCCATGGTATCTGGAGCACTGTATCTGGAGTGTGTGCCGGCGCCCCCCCATGGTTGTATCTGGAGCACTGTATATATATATACATGGAGTGTGTGCCGGCGCCCCCCCATGGTTGTATCTGGAGCACTGTATATATATATATATATACATGGAGTGTGTGCCGGCGCCCCCCCCATGGTTGTATCTGGAGCACTGTATATATATATATACATGGAGTGTGTGCCGGCGCCCCCCCCCCCCCATGGTTGTATCTGGAGCACTGTATATATATATATATACATGGAGTGTGTGCCGGCGCCCCCCCATGGTTGTATCTGGAGCACTGTATATATATATACATGGAGTGTGTGCCGGCGCCCCCCCATGGTTGTATCTGGAGCACTGTATATATATATACATGGAGTGTGTGCCGGCGCCCCCCCATGGTTGTATCTGGATAGCCATCAGTCCGCAGTCCCGGGAAATGGGAGAACATAAAGGACATTAGGGAGGGGGAGGGGAGGGGGCCGGGTGACTGTTGAGGCGAAGTAAATGTCCTGTAATGTACAGACACAGCCGGGCCCCTCCCCCCCCAAGGGAGCTGCACTTCTCTCTGGAGTCGCTCTTCAGGCTGTGCTCATCAGATGATAGTGATGGCAGATCGGGGAATCAGCGTATCGGGAGATCAGCGGATCGGGGAATTGGCGTATCGGGAGATCAGCGGATCGGGGAATCGGCGTATCGGGAGATCAGCGGATCGGGGAATCGGCGTATCGGGAGATCAGCGGATCGGGGAATCGGCGTATCGGGAGATCAGCGGATCGGAGAATCAGCGTATCGGGAGATCAGCGGATCGGGGAATCGGCGTATCGGGAGATCAGCGGATCGGGGAATCGGCGTATCGGGAGATCAGCGGATCGGGGAATCGGGAGATTGGGGAATCAGCGTATCGGGAGATCAGCGGATCGGGGAATCAGCGTCTCTGCACTGCACTTGATTTGTACATTTACCATGAAAAACAGAAATTCAACCAAGAAATTTCCACCTGACCAATGATGAAGCCAAGGATGCCCCTCCCCCTCCACTCTACAGGATCATTCCCTGACAGCACTGTCACTTGCCTTCCCTGCACCGCCCCCTGACAACGCTGTCACTGTCCTTACCTGCACCGCCCCCTAGCAGCGCTGTCACTGTCCTTACCTGCACCGCCCCCTAGCAGCGCTGTCACTGTCCCTTCCCTGCACCGCCCCCTGACAACGCTATCACTGTCCTTCCCTGCACCGCCCCCTGGCAGCACTGTCACTGTT